CATTTTGTATGTCTCCCTATATCTGACACACCCACTTCAGGTCTTGCAGTCTCCACTAATGAGCTGATGAGTTGAATCAGGTGTGATAGATGAGGGAGACATACAAAATGTGCAGGGCTGGGGGTACTCCAGGACAGGTTTGAGAACCACTGCTCTAGTCTAATGTATAACATGCAGCTTTGTGCACTGGGTGAGAAAATTACTTATTAGCTTAGGACCAAATTGAACTATTTTTGCATGACTAGAGTGCTGACACCTGGTGGGATAAGTATTCTACCCAATCATGAGAGAAAAGAAGAGAGAACACAGGACTGCGGAGTCTTCTTGCCATACTGATTTTCCAACCCAGGCTCATTGGAAGTATACGTGCCTCTAAATACATTTCTGTAACACCGTTATTGCGTACCTTACTGGACAACCTTCAGAAAAATATAATCCTGTATTTCAAATATATATTCATATGTGACCCAGCATCACAAAACCAGTCATAAGTGACCCAGGACCACAAAACCAGTCATAAGGGTCAGTTTTTTTGAAATTGAGATATATACATAATTTGAAAGCTGAATAAATAAGCTTTTCATTGATGTATAGTTTATTATGACAATATTTGGCCGAGATACAACTATTTGAAAATCTAGAATCTGAGGGTGCAAAAAGAAAAAAAAAATCTAAATATTGAGAAAATTGCCAAGTTGTCCAAATTAAGTTCTTAGCAATGCATGTAACTTATAAAAAATAAGTTTTGATATATTTACAGTAGGAAATGTACAAAATATCTTTATGGAACATGATCTTTACTTAATATCCTAATGATTTTTGAAATAAATTTTTTTTTGATAATTTTGACCCATACAATTTATTATTGGCTAATGCTACAAATATACCCATGCGACTTATGACTGGTTTTGTGGTCCAGGGTCAAATATAGTCAGAAAGTTGCCAAAAAAAAAGTGTGAGATAAAACCCTTCTGATCTTTACCTTGTGAAAAGCAAGCTTCTGATTTTATGCATAGAACACTGGTCATCTCACGCTTTAAAAATCATTGATCATTGCTTCATCTATGGATAAATGCCTTATTATATGTCCATGAATTTTTCTTAATTTTAGGTTCAAAATTTGTTATAACATTTTTCACTTCACAAGACGTTAACGTTAAAACGTAAGACGTTTTTTCTCAGCTGTTTGGACTCTTATTCTGACGGCACCCATTCACTGCAGATGATCCATTGGTGAGCAAGTGATGCAATGCTACATTTCTCCAAATCTGTTCCGATGAAATAACAAACTCATCTACATCTTTAAAGGCCTGAGTATATGTTTATTTTGGGGTGAACAGTCCCTTTAATGAAATCTTGACAGGTGCTTATTTTTATATAAATGTATTAGCTATTTGAAATAGTTCACCATAGGACATGACAAAACCCCCCACACATAAGCAATCAAAAAGAATGCGTGACTCTTTCAGAGATCCGCGAGAGGAGGCAGATGAGGAGAGCGCGCGGCAGAATGTGACGTCACCAGTCGCACTTCTTTCCTACTTGTTGGGAAAGCGCGAGCTGCGCTGCCTGGCGCAGAGAGTGGACAGCCCGCGCACGGAGAAAGAATACCCTACACGGTAAGAACACTCACCTTTCACCGCTAGCTGTTGCTTCTTTACTTTTAAAAGTAGCATTTGCTGTGTGTAAATGAATAGGCTACAGTTTGGGGCATGCAGTGTTTTTATCCTATGCATGCTTTTGTTAATAACAAAGTAATTCAACTGTTATATTCTAAGTTATGTAAATAATTCGCATATGTTCCAAGTTTCCAAGTCAGCGTTCATTCGTTTGAATAGTCTGTTTTCTGCAGGGTTGCCAATGTTTTGTTTCACACTCAGATCTCGTGATGTGGAAAGAGACAGATGAAAGACATCGACCACCTTAGACTCGTGGAGAGATCTGCGAAAGCAAGAGCGCAGCTTTATAAAGTAAAGCACTTATCCCCGGAGGCTCAGCTGTCACAGAATGGAGAACATCACGATCCCCTTCATCCCAAACCCAACATGCAACTACAGCATGGACTTATACTATTACGACTCTTCAAACCGGAGCGATCTGAATTGCACGCCGCCGGCTGACTACTTCTTTTACGCAGATCTATACGTGGTTCTCCCGGTCATTTACTCCGTGATATGCGCCGTAGGTCTGACGGGAAACACGGCGGTCATATATGTGATCCTCAAAGCACCCAAAATGAAGACAGTGACCAATATGTTCATCCTGAACTTGGCGATCGCCGACGACCTCTTCACTTTAGTGCTGCCCATCAACATAGCGGAGCATCTGTTACACTACTGGCCGTTCGGCGAGGTGCTGTGCAAAATCATTTTAAGCATCGACCACTACAACATCTTCTCAAGCATCTACTTTCTGACTGTTATGAGTGTGGACCGGTACCTGGTGGTGCTGTCGACCGTGCGCTCCAAGCGCATGCCGTACCGCACATACCGGGCAGCCAAGATAGTGAGCCTGTGCGTGTGGCTGCTGGTGATCCTCATCGTCGTGCCGTTCACCGTGTTCGCGGGAATGTAGACCTGCTTGAATGTAAAGCGCTTTGAAGAGACGAGTTTGGAGTCACGGTGCGCCATTCAGAATTTAATTCCAGGATTTGAATTGAATTTGAATTGAGGTAGCAAACAGAATTCAACTAAGGCGTTTAGCAATTGGGATTTGAATTTAATTTGAATTGTATTAAAAGGTATATGACTGCAATAAGCCTAGTTGGAACAGCAAAGTAGAGTCACGGTGCGCCATTCAGAATTAGATTAACATTAGATTAACACTCATAAACTCCAAACGTCCCAATTTTAAAATTACGAACTATGGTTACCAACCATAATTGAAATACAGTCATGATCATAACTAATTATTGGCAGTGTCTCAAAATAGTGAGCAGCTCATGTAGACATCATATTATTAAAATCAATGTAATTCCAATTCAATATCCTTTAGTTTGTTGCCAATAAAATTAAAATTTACACGCAGTTTTATATTGTATGCCTAACCCTGATTAAAATACAGTTATGATGAATGTGTCCACTACTTCCCAGATTCCCACATCCCTGTGTATTTCCAATAATAAAGGAAAATGTTTTCCTGACACTAAATTCTAATATAAGAAGAGTTTGTCTCCCTCTTGTGCTCTCTGTGATGAAATAATGAAGCTGAAATATTTTGAAATGTGCTTCAACACGTCTGACAGCAGTGCTCTGGAAACTTTGATTAGGAATTACAAAATGTGATATCATTGCCGACGTAGGATGATATCATGTGTTTCTCAAACAGCAGGGATTTATGTATATATTTGTATAAACCTGCTTTTGTCACATGAAAGGTCATCACTTCCTGTCCAGCAGTATTTCATCTTAATAGCAAATTTGAGACAATTGTTTAAACGTGCATTCCCTTTTCTTTAAATGAATAAATATCAATGTAAAACGTTTTTGTTTGTGTATAACCAGAGATGTAAGTCATGCAGATCAACACAGTGAAGCATACTATGTTACATGGCTTTTTAATACATGTTGTAAATAAAATGGAATAAATCCGTCTTTCATTTAGTCCAATGTAGATGTCAAAAAACTAATATTACCCAGGACAACAGCAACTGCCCAAAGTTTGAAATTAAGCATCATCTAACACACTTTCTACCTCAGAATGTTCCTGAATATGAGAAAGTATTATGTTTTTGTATTCTGTTTGTACCAGAACTGTCTTTTAAATTCACAAGGCCCCTCGCTGTACATTATACAAATGATAGGTGTATAAAGCCTTGCAGTCATGTTTTTTTTTAATCTACACAATAATAATAATAATAATAATAATGTAGTGTAAGCCGCCAGGACTCAACCTCATTGTTTATGTGAAACTTAAACAGCCTATACTGTATCAAGTTCTGTCACAGATTATTTCCGTACACCACCTGGCAGTCTATAACAGTAACTGATTCTGGATTTGTTCGCGTTCTTGAGATCCACATCGAGCAAGAAGACATGAGCTGTAGAACTGATCAAACTGCAAACAAGTAAATGACAACATATTCCCGAATCCTAGTCTGGTTACTGCAATCTGCAACCAGTCGCCCACACAATAAAATAGGATAAAATATGAGGTCTGAAATCATTTTAAATGAAGTATATCGTTGTAAATTCCGAATCAAACAACGCATGCAATACTATGACAGCCATGGTGTTACGATAATAAAATGGTGTCACAAAAATAAGAAATCATATAAAGCCTAAATAAAACTATACATTTCTAAATGTTATTACAGTACACTGTAAAAAGTGATTATTGAAAACAAAAATTACTGGAATGTGTTTCTTTTCTATTATTTTCTTTTATTTTCTTTTATTTTCTTTTCTTTTCTTTTCTTTTCTTTTCTTTCCTTTTCTTTTCTTCCCCTGAGCCAGAGAGAATTACAAACGTACAAACTTCAATTTAAGGCTAAACTAAAAAGTAGCTTTTGTCTCAAGTTCATGAAATACTTGGGTTTCCAGAAACATTCTCTGTCACTGTCTTTCCATCTTTCTTTCCTTCAAAGTTTCAAGTTTAATTCAACTTGCCGTTTGTTTGTCATTGTTTGTAAAATTTAGGCTACTACAAATTTTTCAGGAAAGAAACAATTGTTAAAAATTGTTACTACACCAATATATACAATGGTTTTGCTATATTGCTATACACTGAGATTATA